CAGGCAGCCCCGCGAACATCCTGGCTCCTGTTTAATCATCAATTTAAGGACCTGTATGTGGACAAAGTTTTCTAAGGAGAATTTTGCGGGTGATAAGGTAAGCACTTGCTACAAAACGCGTATTCTGTTTCTTCTTCTTTTGGTGCAATGGCGGCTGGCAAAGTAGCATGCAGGTGCATTACCGCCACCTACTGGACTGAAGCGTAAAACACACGTCTCGCTAAACCAGCCCATTCTGTGGAGCATAATAAAACATAAAGTACATACAATAGAATATAAATGTACAAACATGTTATACTATATTTACTATGCTTCTTATTTCCCAGTTAATGTTCACAATTTTTTGATGTATTTACATTGATACAGATTCGTTTTGGTCATTAATGCAACCATCTTCCAAAAAAGCTCAAAGAAAAAAACACGCTTGTTCATTTCAGAGAAAAAAAAAACGTTGCGAATATCCAAAGCACCCATCATTTATAAATGACTTCAGCACTGAATATTCTGTCCATCTGTGATGAAAATTGATCTAACTACAACAATTATTTTTCAATAAAATGTGTTTTCATTATCACTCAGCTACCTGTTGTCATATTTACATACAGCGCCCTCCATAATTATTGGCACCCCTGGTTAAGATGTATTAAAAGCCTTAAAATAAATTCAAATGTAACCTTCAACTCAATTCAAATGAATTACTGGCAAAAAGGGGTTACAAAGTATTAACATCAAGGGTGCTAATAATTGTGGCACACGTGATTTGATGTAAAAGAATTATTTTTTAATGTGGGATTTTTTTTCACACTGAATAAATGCACTTGAATTAAAGGTTGAATTTTGCTCTTTTTTTCATTGTGGTCCTATATTATTTAGAACAAAACTGAATTTATTAGAAGCTAAAGAACACATCTTAACCAGGGGTGCCAATAATTATGGAGGGCTGCAGTTACTTCATTACTTTATTAATTGAAGATAGGCTCCAGCCCCCCTGCAACCCTAGTGTATAGATAATGGATGGATGGATGTCCCATAATGCAACCATACACAAATCAATGTCCATCCATCCATTATCTATACAACACTTAATCCTCACGAGGGTCACGGGGGGCTGGAGTCTATCCCAGCTGACTTAAGGCGAAGGCAGAGGACACCCTGGACAGGTCACCAGTCTATCACAGGGCTACACTTAGAGACAGACAACCAAGCACACTCACATTCACATCTACTGACAATTTAGAATCACCAGTTAACCTCAACATGTTTTTGGACTTGTGGGAGGAAGCCGGAGAACCCGGAGAGAACCCACGCTGCACGGGGAGAACATGCAAACTCCACGCAGAAAGATCCCGGTGCCCCCACCGTTACGCGAACCGGCGACCTTCTTGCTGCGAGGCAACAGTGCTACTAACTGCACCACCTTGCAGCCCATAGAGTAACATAAAAAAGTCAAATGTTTGGATTACAGTAGTTTATTTTCTATACAAAGTTTTTCTCCATGTTTTTACAGTTTTTCTGCTGTAATTATTTAACTTTATATTTGATTGTTTAAGCCACATCTGTTCATTTACGTAATTGTTTAAGTATTTATTTGTATGTATTATTTCTGTTTTTATTGTATTTAGTAATGTCTGTTTTTGTAAATTTTCATTTTAATGAGGTACTGTCTATTTAAGTTAAGTGATTTTAGTTATCATTTTAGTTTTTGTTGTCCTTTGGTGTTACAGTTGATTTGAAACCAAAAATAAAGCAGTTGATGTTTTACAGTAAATACATTTTATTCTGGCTTATTTTGTTACTTTTAGGGGGGCTATAACATTCAATATCTCAGTAAATAAATGCTTTAAATACAGTATTAAGTGTAAATTAATCCCAGGCCACACTTGTAGGTGAATTTACTACCATTTTAGATTATAAACCATAGATGGGTGAAAACATACCTGGTATATAAAAGGATGCTGTAAACAGCACTGCTGCTACTGTGCAGCTCTTTGAGGTTTTATATTTTGCTTCTCTGTGCTGCCAACAGGGAGAGTTGCGGACTTTTGTCAAATATTAATCGTAAAGTTTTTCTGCTAATTTGCAAATCTGCTTCAATGATCTTTACCACTGTGGATTATAATCTAACAACAATAAGTCTCACATTGAGTTTTACAAGTGCATTTGTTATAACAAATTAGAAAATGAAACAAGTTTATAATAGGTGTGTGAATGATCATTGATCAGTGTCATCGACATGAATGGAGGGCCCCAAAAATCATGCTTTGCTTAGAGCCCCTTGGAGGCTTGGGTCGGCCCTGGTGAGAAGCTTGTGGAAGAATACCCAAAATGTTTGATGTAAGTCATACAGTTTAAAGGCAATGCTAGCAAATACAAAGGAAATGTATGTAAACTTCTGACTTTGAAGAAAGTAATGAAACATTCTCCCTCTCATTATTCTGGCATTTAGCAAATAGAAATAATTTTGGTAATCCAACTGACCTAAGACAGGAAAGGTTTAGTCTGATTTAATGTCAGACAGTGAGGAAAAAAGGTTATGTGTCTTTTTACACAGTGTATGTAAAATTCTGGTTTCAACTGCATGTGCTTAATGTGCACAGCTTTCTCTCTTGGAGGATGTTTTATGGATCATGCTGCTTTCTGATGCTGCAGGCATTTGATAAACTCAGAGGAAATCTTTTTTTTTATAAAAACAGTTACAAGCAACATACTAAGCTTCCACTCTTGTTCTGCGGTCTGTGTGTCATCTCGATCAACGTAAGGTACAAACTGTGTCTTTGTGCTCTCTGTCATGTTTAAGGAAGGAGGCCGCAGCTACACATTTTATTCCCTCAAAACGCACACACATATCACTACAGCAGTGAGGGTTTAGTGCTAAGGTCTTTAAGTGGACGGTGGATTGAGCCTATTTTTGCTGTAAGAAGAAACTTCCTGTATAACAACTGTGTGCCCGCAAGCTGCCTGCAGCTCATTTGCATAAGTGAACTTGTTTTACCACCGGTGTGAGCAAATTAGAAAGTAAACGGTAAAATGACATGCTTTTCCAAAAAGCTCTACCTTAGTCTCATCTGTCCACAAAACCTTCTCCTAAAAGGGTTGAGGCTTACTCAGGTACATTTTTGCTCTAGTCTGGCTTTTTTTAAAGTCTCTTTCAGCAGTGGGGTTCTCCTTGGTCTCCTGCCATAGTGCTTCTTCTCATTCAGATCCGAGCTGACACTTTTGCACCCTGAGTCTCCAGGACAGCCTGAATTTGTGTAGAAGTTGACTCAGGATGTTTATCCACCATTCCAACTATCCTGGGTTGCATTCTTTCATCAATTTCTCTCCTCCGTCCACATCCAGGGAGATTAGCCACAGTTCCATGGGTTATAAACTTCTTGATTATATTACACACAGTGGACAAAGGAACTTCAAGATCTCCCGAGATGATCTTGTAACCTTGAGATTGTTCATATTTTTCCACAGTTTTGCTTCTAAGTCCTCAGACACTTAAGCTCTTCTTTCACTTCTCCATGCTTGGTGTGACACACACAGACACACAACACAAAGGTTGAGTCAACTTGTATACATTCTAACTGGCTTCAGGTGTGATTTCTATATTGCCAGAACCTGTTACTTGCCACAGATGAGTTCAAACGAGAATCGTGCTTGAAATAAAACGATGTACCCACAGTTTTAAAAGGGTGCCAACAATTTGGTCCTGCCTACTTTTTGAGTTTTGTGTATAACTATGTAAATTTGGGCTTTTTACCTCTGCTTTTTGTGTTTTTCCAATGTACATAAAGGAAATAAACACCTGTATACCAAAAACAGTTGTAATTGCAACAATTTCTGTGTTTTCTGGAAAAATACTTTCATCTATGACTGTAGCTGCGCTACGCGTTTCATGAGAAGACTGCATTTTAAGTGTAAACACCACACCAAAGGTATTACTTTCCACCACTGTGGTTAACACAGCAGCTGCTGGTTAAAGCGACACTAATACAGCTTAATGATCATCATGCACTGCGACCCCTGAAATCTTAACTAGTCTGGAGTGCTGTTGGTGAGTTTGGTGCTTTATTGATTAGGGGTGGATGATACTGCAAAATTTGGTAAATACAGGGCCAGTATTGCCAGTACCAATACCAATACTTTTCACTCAAAAAAGTAGCTTCTGTACTTTCATGTAGAACAATGCATCATCATTTATTAAGTGAATGTACCATGAACATCCAAATTTGAATGAAAATTTAAAAATAATAATAATAATTTCATGATGATTGAATGATTTTGTGACTTTTCTTTTAATTAGTTCTGTGAGTTAATTGAGCGAGAGGAGAGAAGTGAGAAAGAGGAGAAGAGAGGAGAGGAGAGGAGAGGAGAGGAGAGGAGAGGAGAGACGTGAGCGAGAAAAGAGAAGTGAAACGAGAGAAGTGAGGAGAGGAGAGAAGTGAGAAAGAGATGTGAGCGAGAGGAGCAGTGTTTGCACAACCACTATTTAAAGGTTGCTGAATGTAGAGAAGAGAAACTAAAAACGTAAGTATTGATTCCACCACGTATTGAACCGATGCTGATACCAATATGGTATCGATACTATCGATGCGTCATATCAATCCGCCCACCACTATTGTTGATGCTCTGCAGGAATCAGAGGACACCAACCAGTGGCCCTGTCTCTCTGAAACCTTTCTCTGTTTTTTTTTTTTTGGTTGATAACATATATTGTACAATTGTGAACTGGAGTGTGTCACTCATTGTGAGTAGGCCTATTTGTATGGATGACAAACAATTAAATGTATTTATCAATAACACAAAAAGAATGGCACAGGTTTCTGATTTCATTGTTGTTTGATAGTTTAAAGTGACTCCCAGTAGTCAATGCTACACACATACAGATACAATTTGACAGCAGAATTTCATTCTTTCGGAAAGTTCCCATCAGCCAGGGTAATAACATCTTCAAGGCCACAAAAATGAATCTGCTCCTAAATTGTTCTAATTACAGACTATCAGGAGGCACATGAGACTTAAAGGTCACAGATTTATTCAGGTGATTATTTTGCTGGGAAAAAAACAAACTCCACAGATGCTATGAGCACAGTTGAGGACTCATTGGAATGTAAATAGTTCTGTCTTAAGTTATAGGAAATTGTGACTGCTAACATTGCCTCGAGTGTCTTCTAAAACACACGTGGGCTGTTTCTGTCACAGCAAGAAGAAAACATAGGAAATAATGCCACTGCAAGTGGGTGTAGTCTTACATAATGAATCTGGAACATTTACACAAAACTATGGCTTGTCCTTTCATTTCAGTAAACAATTTAAAAGGTTGATAATTTGCAAAGAAAACTGCACAGGGCATGTTGTGCTATGTTGATTTCACATATACACAGTCACATAAACTGGAACCAAAAAAAATCTTAAAATGGTCTTGCAATTTCTTAAAAGTTTAAGATTGGTATATTTAGAGAATATGTGCCGGCCTAGGAGGTGTGTCACCCTTGCTCTTACACCATGTCTTCTCTCGCTTTTGTGTTTCTGTAAATCATCAGTAGGTATCCCAGAGCGATGAATAAGAGGGCGACGAAGAGGAAGAGGATGCCAGCCCAGGGCCCTGAAGGCAGAGCCTTCATCAGTCCAAGGCTCTCTGCTGGTACTAAATTGCTCAGATTCAGCATGTATCCCAAAGCCCAGCCCACAGATGCTCCTCCTGCCTGCAGAAACACAAGAGGAGGCCCATTGAAGCTACATCTAATCGTGGACAAACATCCTGATTTCAGTGCAGCAGACAGTGCTGTAGATTGGTGTCAGCAGTGTTGGTAGTTTGAACACAAATTTTCTGTTTATTACCTTTTTCTGAAAAGAGATGGAAGGAAGGGAAGCTTCATCGAAATGGTAGCCCTGTGTTAAGAGGACCTGGACAAAACTGGATACGGCACAGACATTTTTCACGTATTTCTCTGATTGCTTTGTCTTTTCCATCATCTGTAAGAGGAAATACAGTGGATTAAAGTTTTTATTATCGTATTCAGTCCATAATGATTTCAATCTTGTCTACCTAGAATATTTAATAGCAAATAATCTGGCTTAGGTTTATTGCTGTATTTGATCAATTTACACATGGCGTTTTCGAGGATCTTTTTTTTTTTCTAGGAGCTACTGGAGAGTACCTCAGACATTGTCATGTTGCAGATGAGCTGGATTGCCTCCTCCGTTTGATTAGGAGACGTGATTGGGATGTTGGTCAGACGGGTTATATAACTGTGAGTGAAGTAGAAAGCAGAGAAAGCCTGTGTAGAAGAGCAAAGACTGCAATAAATGAAAGCTGAACAGAAAAACTGAAATTCATTTGAATAATGAGTCATAAAACAGGACATCCAAAGCAAATACGAGCTGGAATATAAAATGCTATGTCTGTGTAGATTTCCAGTCATCCAGATCATAGTAACCGTTAGAATTGTAGTAGAAGGCAACTGGACATTTTTCTGGCTCTTGAGAACGTTTCACCTCTTATTCAACAGGCTTCTTGGGTTCTGCACTGTATTTGTTTTAGAGCTGCACAATATGTTGTTTCACTACTGACATTGTGTGCATATACAACAGTCACACTGCAGGAAGTGTCATGTAAAGTAAAACAAATTAATTCAAGCACATAATGCTGCATATTTTTCCTGTTTGATACAAAAAGAAAACCTTGAGAGTTTTAATTTTCCATCACAAATCAACAAGAGAAGTCTGTCTGATATCATTTACTCTGACTTAATGGTTCTTGTATACAAACAGTTTTATTTTTTACTTTATATACAAGACAAAGGTTTTTTTGGTATACAGGCTCCACTTGTGCATAGCAAAATGACTTAGGAACAGGAGAGAAACACTGAAAAGGAAGATTTGGTTGCAAAAAAGAACGCAGTGTCAGTTGTAGAGCTCTACAATTAATGGAACATTAATCATAATCACTTTTCAAAATTAAATGAACAACTGTGATATTCATGTCTAACATGCTCTGTTCATAGAGAACAGCCCATTGTAGATCAATTCACTTGGTTTCAGGTAAATGTGATATTAGAACACCTTGTCTGTGCTGCTGCAGTTATGAAGTAGAGACTATGGGCTTCTCTGTGCACAGTTGCCTGGCCAGTGTCTGATGTAGCCTCCATGCAAGGCATTCCATGATGATCAGTAAATCATAATGTCTGTTGATAAGCAAATGTTTAGCAAGTGGGGCGTTTTGGGTGCAACTTTATTTATTTTTTATCTCTAGGAGATAATTCAGGTGAAGAAGAATCTTATTTTAAGTCTTCTTCTAAAGCAGATTTGTGCATTAACAGAAATGTAGCACAGCATGAAAGTGAAAGCAATGCTGCGTCTATTTAAATATGAACATGCAATAAAAATATTTTGTCCTTAAAATAAATGATCATCATCCAAATATCGATCAATATATTTGTGATTATCATTTTAACCGAATCATACAGCCCTAGCGAGTCATTTTTTGATTTTCTTTTTTTTAATTAACAAACCATCTCAAAGTCAGTTTTTCCCAATATTGTACAATGCTACTTTGCTTGGTTGTTGCTACATGTATGCAGATCTCTCACCATGAAGCTTCCTCTCAGGCTGGGCTGGAAGACTCCATCAAAGGAGCACTTGGAGTAAGGGCAGCTACCAAACGAGAACATCTTCCTTACACTGTCCAGGCAGCTTCTGTAATCTCCTGTGCCCACCACAGTTACAGTCATATGAGGGTCAAACTGGGCTGGTCTGTAGTTCTTAGTACACACAGAATCAAAGACATCCTGTCCCAGCTTAATAGATGTGTTGAACTGTCGTGGATAGCAGGGGTGGAACACCTGAGGCTTCACACCTTGAGTCTGAAAGTGGCAAAAATGATAAACATTAAACATTCTTATGGTATGTTAAAGAAAATGAATCATATAGCATCACATCTTTTTTTTTTTATTCTTTTTTTACAGAAGACACTGTAGCATGTCATGGTAGGAAGAGCAGTAAATAAAATGAACGGCTGAACTCAGTTCAGCTGCTTCAGTTGTTCACAGTGGCTCACTGACATGCTGTCATGGTTATTGGGATATTTCAATTCAGTGGAGTCATTTTAAGTGCTATAGTGCTACTTCAAAGTGTGTGAACCACTTTGAATGTTTTACATTTCTGCATAAATAATAAACATCATCAGATTGTCACACAAGTCCTAAATCAGATGAAGAGAAATGAGACTTAAATGAAAAGGTGTACTTGCTTATACTGAACATTAAAAAAAAAAAAAAAAAAAAAAGAAGAAATTATGGGGGAACATGTTTATGGATTTATGCAAATGTAATCAAACAAAACTTCTTAAATATCAAATAAAAATGAATTTGAACAAAATAAAATTCAGTAAAGCAGAAAACAAAAAAGAAAAACATACAGCAAAACTAAAACCTATATTTTGCAGACTAATTATTTGGTTGTTTCTTTTCATGATAATATGTCCCCCATTGTCTAAAGTTTTAATAATAATAATAATAATAATAATAATAATAATAATAATAATAATAATGTGTCATGAAGGTGGATCTCTGTTAACCTGACTAAATCACCATGGTAACTTATGCTGCAGCGCTATTGTGGTTTACCATGGTGNATAATAATAATAATAATAATAATAATAATAATAATACTTTATTGATCCCTTACTTGTCTCCTTTTTTGGTTTTTCAAAGATCAGTCCTTTACTGTTAACATTTTGCATCAGTGAAGTTTTTTTCTCTTTCAAATTCTTGTTTGATATTTAAGACGTTTTGTTAAAGATATTGAAACAAATTAGAATTAAATACATACTGACTTTAACTCCAATTTAAATTCAAAACTATTTGAAAGCCTTAATAATCCTTGTACAGATCATTTCTCAGTTTATACAGGATCACATAATTTTATATGGACGGATTTGACTTCTTGGGAAGACAGAAGACTGACATCTCTCTCATGTCTGCAGACTAAAGAAAAAGTGACAGCCAGCAGCTGGTTTGCTTAGCTTAGCTTGACATAAATACCAGGAAGCAGGTAGTCTATCTGTGTCAGGTAGTGCAATCTTCCTACCAGCAACTCCAGAGTTGAGTGATTTACATTTTATATTCTGTTTGTTAAATCTGTGCCTCTAAAATAGCAGTTTGTGGTATTCTGCTGCTTCATGGCCTGGAGCAGTGAGTCCCGGGAGTACATTTAGGCCATTTTTAACTGTGGGATGGCCTGAGCCTTTGTTCATGCTCCACCCACAAGAACTGCAAGTACTTAATCATGTCCTCTGAAATAATCAAAACTGCTGTGCAGGTCTTGACATTGACTTGTTAAACTTGTAGAGACACAAATGCTGATATTGAATTTTACTGCCCTCTCAGTGTCCTCATTAAGTAACAGTCTTCTTTTATCTAACATCCACATTAACAACGTAAAATTCACCACACAGTCTAACACAACAAACCTTAATTGTTCTATTTCCATTGTGCTCATTAAACTGAAGTTACTTCCACAGCTATTTGTTGTTGTAACTCAGAAACCAGAGAGCTGTATTATGAAGTGAGATTAGTGGGTTGGCGAGGTATGTTGAGTCTAAAGTCAGAGTTTTCAGTGTCATGAAGGTAGATCTCTGTTAACCTGACTAAATCACCATGGTAACTTATGCTGCAGCGCTATTGTGGTTTACCATGGTGATCTAGCAGGTAAAGTGAGCCACTTGCATGACACTAAAAACTCTGACTTTAAGCTCAACATACCTCACTAACTCATTAGCCCTCTTGTTTCATAGTAGGGCTATGGAGGAGTGCTGGTGCCTTTAATTTATTACCTTGGAAAGGACTTGGCAAGTTGTTTCCCATCATTCTTTATGCTCATAAGTAAAGCTAAAAGTCTCCAGATGAATTTCCAGACTACGGATATTACAGGACTGAATCTTTCATCTAACTCTGAGCAAGAAAACAACTATAAGGATATTTCCAAAATGTTATGTTATCCTTTTATAATCATTGGTGCAACTTTGGTTCAAGCATCGTTTCTGCAAATGAACTGCAGCAAGTCAGTGAGATTCTGTGATGTCCAGGAGTGCCGTCATTTGTCTGATCTTACCTTCTGAACTCTGAGGCAGTCAAGAAGATATAGAATCAGTAGTACAGATATTACAAAAATCTAAATGCTTTCCAACATCAGCCAGAGCCTTTACACTTTTTCAACAGTACCTCGATAAGATGAGCCAGCAGTTTCCTCAGAAATTGGTCTTGACCGTAGCACAGGAAGCTCTGCGTGTATAGTCTGTAGATTTGGCCATAAAGCTTCAGCTCCATCATATTACTCTCATTCTCCACCTTTTCAGAGGTCTCAAAAGTAATCTGAGTGGAAGCTCCACCCAAATCCAAAGCTCCAACTGTCTCTCTGCCTGGATTCAGCCATTGGCCCACAAAACCATACTGAACATCAAGAAAGAACATGTCAAGACATCAGAACTGTGACAAGACAGTAGATAATATACACTGAACATGAAACACGGAGTTTACTCATGAAAAAACATCCAGCCAAATCAACTTTTAAAGTCCCTACGTGAGGTAATTTTTTTCTGTCAAGAACTAACTGAGTATATATAAATAATTGTATATTTCTTTTCTTTTTACATTGGTATGTGTATGTATTGTAATTTTTGGTTCAATTTGTTGCATTTTACTTTGTTTGTATTCTTTTAAAATCATGTTCCATTATTATTTTTTTTTTCCAGTCTTCATTGTTCATTTGTATTTAATGTGCTGTTATCCTGGTGGTTCTTGGAGAACACAGTATCTGTTTTTAAGATGCAAAGGCTTTTTGACATTTCCTGCCACCGCTGTTATATTTCTTCTACCTGGACTTTATGTGCATTAAATTATCTGCACCAACAGTTTTCTATTGGAGGCCATAATACAGTGCCAGCTTAATGTGCATGAACAAATTATCCTATTGTACAGATTAGAGTTGGCATTTCAAAGTGCTTTACAGGTGACTCAGTGGGTGATAATAAGATAGAATAGAAAATAAAATGAGACACATAAAATGAAAAACAATTTGAAGTTTAAGGGGCACTAAAGAGAGAAAAGGTGAAAATGCATTCATTACGGTAGTATATTTTGATAATAATTCAAAAATAGATCAATACAAGACAATAAGCCTTGATAAAAGACAATGACAAATCAGTGAGAGGAAACATAGACATCTTAAAACGTGAATGCAATAAATAAATGATGACAAAAATGACTACAAAACAAACCTTCTTATCAAAAGGATGAAACGTGGTGTTTTAAGTTTGTGTTTATAGGTAGAAACGCTGTTCTCAGAGCCTCATACAGTTCAAACTGCTTCATACTGTAAAACCTAAAAGACGTCATCAATTTGCATCATGGGTTGATGAGTTAGGATACATCTCTCTACTGTTTGCCAGTGTCTCACCAAAAAAGCAGATCACCTTTGTTGTGCACTTTAGTCTTTTATGTATTTTTAGCATCTGTCAGCCTGTTTTGATGATGCCATTGGTGGCTGGAGCAGTGATAAAGTACTTTAGAGTCTTTTTTTTTTCTATGTCAGAATGGGACAGTGTTCAAAAACTGGAGAAAAAAAAAGTCAGAGCTCACCTTGACAAAGTGTTCAAGTAAGTAGTTGACTGTAACCCATCCATATGCCCCCTCCGCCTGCCCGCTCAGGATGATTGCCTCCTTGAACTTGAAAGGGTAGGATCTCAGTTTTTTCTCGACTTCCTTCAGTATCTGCTGGGACTCTGTGGCATTGACTATGCTATTAAAGTGTCATAAAAGGTAAATGAAACAATATTAAGCCCAGATCCATTCTAATGCACACATGCATAAACGATGAGTTTCATGATATGGTGTTTATATCAGTATAATATCCTCTTCTGAGGGAAACTTCTACTAACTTCAGGAGCCTCATGCCTGCAGTGGCTCCCAAGCAGAGTGGAGTTTGGTGGTGCCTGGATTTGGGGATGACCTTCACAGCTTGTTCGAGGCAGGCCTCCAGACTCTTTGCTGCTCCACCACGAATTCCTGCATAGCTGGATATACCTCCACCTGGACAGAGAGAAGAAGTGTTTCTGCTTATAAAGGAACTCAATCTGACCTCAAAAACTAGACTTCCTTGTCCTAAATGATAAACACTGATAGGAGTTGCTAGGGAAACTTTAAAAACAAACTGAAGAAAAAAGAAGAACAACTGGTGATGACAAACTGCCTGGTAAGGAAGTGAACCGCTTATGAGCAAAAGTCTTGCACAAGAGTTGCATGTTTCATTTTGACAAAGGCCCTGGATACTTTTTGATAGGATGAAATGATGGAAGTGAAAGTGAGTGAAAGTGAGCAGAACACCAGGACAAGGGGTAAATGATCAAAAGGCTAAGGGAAAGGGTAAGTAGCTGAGTACAGATCTGAAGAAGCAAATCACTGACTTAAACAAGTCAGGAAAGTCACTTGGTGCCATTTCAAAGCAGCTTCAGATCCAAAAATCAACTGTACAAACAACTGTTTGTAACTATAAAGTGCATGTCGCAGTTGTGCCATTACCCCGATCAGGAAGAAAACCCAAGCTATCACCTGGCGCTGAGAGACAATTAGCCATGGAGCCCTTCAGCTGCCATGCAAGAAGGAAGCCCTTCCTCTAGAAACGACACCTTAAAGCTTGATGGAAGTTTGCTCCTGATCACATGGACGAGGAAAATGCCTTCTGGAGGAAAGTTCTGTGTTCAGATGAAAGAAAAATTGACCTATTTGGTCACAATGACCAAAAACATGTTTGAAGGAGAGCAGGTGAGGCTTTTAATTCCAAGAGCACCAAGCCTACCATTAAGCATAGTGGTGGTACTATTGTGTTCTTGGACTGTTTTGCTGCTAGCAAAAAAGGGTACTTTACACAAAGTAAATGGAATAATGAAAAAGGAGGATCTACATACTTCAGGAAAACCTAAAATCATCAGCCAGGAAGTTGGGTGTTAGATGCAGTTGGGTAGTCCAATAAAACAATGGCTGCAAACACACATTAAAAATGTGGGGGAAATGGCTAAATCAGGCTAGAATTAAGGTTTTAGACTGGCCTTCCCAAGTCCTGACCCAAACCCTAGCAAAAACCTGTGAACTGTGATGAAGAAACCCGTGTGTGTCAGAAAGCCAAAAAAAATTGTTGAATTCTGTCAAGAGCAGTGGTCAAAGGCAAAACAAGAAGCTTACCAGAAGCTTGTGGATGGCAAAGAAAAGGTGAATAACTGAGGTGAAAATGGCCAAGGAACATTTAATCAAATATTTGCATTGCTGTATGTATATTTTTGGCCCAGGAGAGTTTGTCATATTCCCAAAAGATCTATATCATATTAATGAAATAATCAAAATTAAAATTGTTGTTTTTTTGGGGTTTTTTTGGTGACCCAGATGCATATGCTTCAATTATTACATCATAGAAAATTGAGAGTTATGGGAATCATTGGAACTTCCATGATATACATACACACGTGGACAAAATTGCTGGTACCCTTCGGTTAATGAAAAAAAAAACCCTCAGTGGTCACTGAAATAACCTGAATCTGACAAAAGTAATAATAAATAAAAATTCTATGAAAATTCTCCAATGAAAATTAGACATTGCTTTTGAACCATGACTCAACAGAATTATTTAAAAAAAATAAACTCATTAAACAGACCTGGACAAAAATGATGGTACCCTTAACTTAATATTTTGTTGCACAATCTTTTGAGGCAATCACTGCAATCAAACGATTTCTGTAACTGTCACTGAGACTTCTGCACCTCTCAGCATTTATTCTGGCCCACTCCTCATGAGCTCCAGTTGTCTCAGGTTTGAAGGGTGCCTTCTCCAGACAGCATGTTTCAGCTCCTTCCAATAGGATTTAGATCAGGGCTCATAGAAGGCCACTTCAGAATAGTCCAGTGTTTTCCTCTTAGCCATTCTTGGGTGTTTTTAGTTGTGTGTTTTGGGTCATTATCCTGTTGGAGGGCCCATGACCTGCGACTGAGACCAAGCTTTCTGACACTGGGCAGCACATTTCTCTCTAGAATACCTTGATAGTCTTGAGATTTCATGGTACCCTGCACAGATTCAAGACACCCTGTGCCAGATGCAGCAAAGCAGCCCCAGAACATAACAGAGCCTCCTCCATGTTTCACAGTAGGGACAGTGTTCTTTTCTTGATATGCTTCATTTTTGCGTCTGTGAACATAGAGCTGATGTGCCTTGCCAAAAAGTTCCAGTTTTGTCTTGTCTGTCCATAGGACATTCTCCCAGAAGCTTTGTGGCTTGTCAACATGCAGTTTGACAAATTCCAGTCTGGACTTTTTTATAACTTATTTTCGACAATGGTGTCCTCCTTGGTCGTCTCCTATGAAGTCCACTTTGGCTCAAACACACGACGGATGGTGCGATCTGACACTGATATACCTTGACCTTGGAGTTCACCTTTAATGTCTTTAGAGGTTGTTCTGGGCTTCTTTGTTGCCATTCGTATTTTCCGTCTCTTTGATTTGTTATCAGTTTTCCTCCTGCAGCCACATCCAGGGAGGTCGGCTACAGTCCCATGGATCTTAAATTTCTGAATATGGGCAACTGCAGTCACAGGAACATCATGCTGCTTGTCAATGGTCTTATGGCCTGAACCTTTAACATGCTTGTCTATCATTTTCTTTCTAATCTCCTGAGACAACTCTCTCCTTCGCTTCCTCTGGTCCATGTTTAGTGTCGTACACACCATGTCACCAAACAGCACAGTGACTACTTGTAACTCTATAAATAGGCTGCATGACTGATTACAAGTTTGTAGACACCTGTGATGCTAATTGGAGGACACACCTTGATTGAACATGTCCCTATGGTCACATTATTTTCAGTGGTTTCCAGGGGTACCATCATTTTTGTCCAGGCCTGTTTCATGAGTTTATTTTTTTAAATAATTCTGTTGAAGCACATTTCAAACACAATGTCTGATTTTCATTGCTTAATTTTCATTGAATTTTTAAAAATTAGTATTATTATTACTTTCGTCAGATTCAAGTTATTTCTGTGACTGTTGTGAGTTCATTAACTGAGGGGTACCAACAATTTTGTCCATGTGGGAAGTCTTTACAAGTGCAACCTTTGTTCATGACTGTATACCAGCCAAATCTTATACTAAAGTGCTGATGCAGGGCTCCTTACATCAGCATTGTCTCAAACAGAGTTGGAAGCTCACCTTTTGCGTGACACTCATCATGCTGAGTAACGATACCTGTGCCATTTTGCTTGTCAGCCGGCCATTTGTAAATGTACATGGAGGTGTGGGATGAGCCTGCATCCAAAACGATTCCATACTGAAAGAGACAGAGCATCCTATGTCACAGATACATAGACTGTATAAAAGATGGACGTAGCTACCATGACGTCACCCGTTGGTTTCTGCACTGAGAAAATGAAGCCAGGGTTTTGCTACTTCCTGGTTGACATCTTGGATTTTTGGAGCCAGTGACGCAAAAATCGTCGGAGGGTGGTGGAGCCATAGGAGCAGCGATTGGTCAGACGGATTGAGAGGCAGGTCCTCTCTGCCCGCCCACATTTACCGCCTTCTGCTCGCTTCGTCTGCATCGTCCCTGCCGACTGTCAATCAAGCCAGCCACGCCCCTTGCCCCGCAAAATTTTGGTGATTTTTAAAAAATTCAGTATTGATTTATTTTCAGATTGGCCACCTGATCTCTGGATTTGACTATGAAAACTAAATAAGAAAAAATCCTGAGCTGTAGGAATGCGGTATTTCGTGATCTGTGATCACTTCTTTTCCAATTCAAGTCTATGGGAGCCAGGGCTTTTTGAACCAGCAGCTAGCGGACGTAGTGATACTGCAGGTTTTTGACACTTCCGGGTTGGCTTCAGGGCCGGTTGCTACGTCCATCTTTTACACAGTCTATGCACAGATATAGTACCAGAGCTGCTAACTCCCTTGCAGACACTCACACTGATAGCTGTAGACCAGTAGGGTCTCCAAGTGGGGAGGTGTGGGGGGCATGGCCACCCCTCAAATCTGATTGGTCAACCCTGTAGCCTGCCCAGAATGTAACTGGTCAAATTCATTCACTGAAACTTTGATGTCAAATCTCCAACAATAAAGTAACTTCCAACAGATAACAGATAGCTGAATCACTATGCAAACACATTTTATTGAACTATAAGTTGCTCTAATTATATAATTTGTAATTACACATGGACAGAATTTTCAGTGGTGAAAACATGAATAAACCATGCTTATGGGAAGACTTTATCCCCTCAAATACTCAGCAACATCTCTTCTACTGGTTTGTGCTGAATAGTGGTCATCTAAATAACTAACATATTAACTGTACTTGTGTCAGTCTATGCACATCAGACAATAGAAACAAACTTTAAAAACTGAACCCATTGGAACCATAGTATATCAGTGACTTATGCAATTTATTAGCTCTTATTTTGACACCATTATCTATACTACAACAACAAAATAGAATTCTTGTATTTCAGTTATGGCTTTTGGTTTTTGTGAGGCACCCTAAGGTTTTCAGTTGCCCCATCTGATCACGTCTTTAAAAAATTTCTGGATGACCCACTGTTATCAAAATAAGTTGCTTAGCCTATATATATATGGAATAAAGAAAGGTTCTTTCCTGTAAGCGTTTTAATAACTAATCTATTTGTTGTGGCAGTTAAAACCCCTCTTTGCTGTCCAACTTGTCTAAGTTCATCCCATTTAGTTACCACTCAACTCTGGTATTGACAGGATGAGGCTTAAACATATAGCTCCTGTGAATCTTATTTTTTCCATGACAAGTTGGCAGCACATGCTGATTATTCCCTTATGTGACTGAATTGATTTTCTCTCATAAAACAGACAAAACTATAGATTCTCTGAATCTTGACTTTATCTTCCTTTTGTGCACTCTTTTGAAATGACTATGTAGAGCATCTGCCAAATGAACAAAAGGAAGCGCACATACTGTAATGCATTCAAAAAGACTTTCAAATAAAACACATAAACCACTTCTTTTATCTTGCACTCTGTTTTTACTTACCACAGCGTTCTGCAAAGCACTCCCTAACCTTTGAGGTTGCATGTCAGTCAATGCACTCAGAGTTGCATGTTTCATAATGGGTATTCAACTGAGACACAGACAATGACTGAGCAGGTTTAGGACAAATAAAGCTCAAAACTGCAAACATTTAATTGTGTGCAGGTCCTTCTACCATCACACACCTCACAGCAGCTACTGGAAATTTCAGTGTATTCATTTATTATTATTTATTTATTTCATTTTTTGGTCTGCATATAGGGAGTGATATACAGGATTTAAAGCCTTCCATTCAATATTTAAAATGATCCCTTGGGGCCTGCATGAAAAGAATCTGGTGGGAAATTAGAATACACTCTAAATGGAAGGACTTATTTAACAGTGGACCACAAATTATGCCTCAAGGGAACTTCTACTGTGCAACTGTGTACAAGTTACAAAACACTGATACAGAGACAGAACCGGTGTCCTCTGCATATGGCAATGAACACCTATATGAGCATGGGTGCAAGTGAAATATAACTCTTCTTCTGTGCAACTAATAATTGTATTGCAATTTTAAAATTGTAGAACAAGAAACATCTTACTGTTCTAGC